ATGGGAGAAAGTATAAACTGGTTTTAGGTGATCCTGGGGTTGAAAAGACTCTTCAGTTTTTTTCCCAGGTAGCAGCAGAACTTGAGACGAGAAGACAAGCAATAGCGGATACCTGGACAGAAAAGGGCAAGGTGGGAACCCTTCCTGACACCTGGGGCACAGGCAGGTTACGGCCACGGCAGAAAGACCGTAGCTCAAGTACAAGATCAAGAGCATCCTGCTTTTCAAAGATACAGGCTAAGCTTTCTTGGTCACCAAAGCCAGGTCTTTGTGTCCACTTCTGAGCTGTGAGCATCACAGCCATTGCTTCAGTAATTAAATCATTTTCAAAGCATTTTAGAAACCAGTATATCAATACATAAAAGCTGATGAAACTGCTGGACATCACAGTTTCAAGAAACTCCGCATGCGGTGGACATGGGATTGCTTAGTCCATCAAATACCTACATTAGTTTTAAAGGCTGTAACTGCTAAGGAATGACATTTCAAAGCCTATTTACATCCTGCAGAAGTTTTGCACAGATAGCGCTGCTGTTGCCCAGACATGCAAGGGAGAGGGGTCAGAGAGGTGCCCACAGGGACTCAAATACTATGACAATGAGCTTAGGTTTAAACAAAATGTAGCAAGGCTCTATACGGGATGGTCAGAGACTGCTGAAGTAATTTCAGTTGCAATTTCTGTGAATCCCTCCCCTGTGGTTGCCAGCAACTGAGTCAAGTAGGTCCTTCCTTAGAGTGATTTTGCTCAGCTGCTGAACAGCATTTGTAATCCTAAATAGGAAACATCTATAATTTTTTGTTAAGACTTCATTAATGTTTGTAGATCTACAGTTCTGACCACATTTATATATATTACTGAACAGTGCATATTTCAGAAAAGTCAAATGCTGAACAGTGTCTGCAAGGCAGGGGTAATGATACGTTTCTGCTCCATATGAAGGTTGTGGGAATTGATTCATTAGCAGAAAGGTGCCACAGGAAAGCAAAGCCATGTTAATCACAGTTTTGCAGCGCTGCAGACGGGGATTAGAATCCACTGTACAAACACGTCAAAAACCAAACTCCTCGCGTGCGAGCACTTCACAACATACAGCAAGGAAATATGCCTAGCGTTCCTCTTCAAGGCTTCACGTAGCTTCTTAACAACAGAAGAAAAACATGCCTATGAAAGCAAGAAAATTCTGCAGCTGTACCTGAGGCTTGCCATATCATAACCTGACAGGACAGGTTGTGAAAAAAGGAAAACGTGGGATCATTTTTCCAAACCCTCCACCGGTGAGGGGGGACGCAGCTGCCCGGAGCACAGTTCACAGAGATTTGATAACACATGTTCTCTGCCTCCCTGGGACTCACTGCCTGTCCTTGGGATCCATATGGAGTCATGAGCCTTGTAGGGCTCAGCCAGCTTATCTCCCCTTGCCACTGCAGAAGCTTAGCAAGGGATAGGCAGGGAGCAGAGGTCAGATGTGAGGCTCAGTTCTGCTAAATACCTCTTCAGCTGGAGGAGGGAGCAAGGGAAAACGAGCAGATCCCTAGATCAAGTACTCACAGTGCTGCGATGCACTCTTAATCACAGCTGAACCTGCGGCTCTTTCATCCCCTTTCTTTTGTTATTTTGACAGGCAGTGAAATAGTTAACTCTGTCACTATTTAAAGCAGCAACGCTGGTCATCTGAACTGGCATGCACCGAGATGAACTGGGCAGGTCAGAGTTATTGTTTCAGATTCTGCAAACACAGCCAGACATCAGCACATCAGTTAGCCTGGAAAACACTAATCAGATGTATCTCAGCAACCACAGCATCCAGGGCTTCTCATTTATTGCGATTATTTTTTGTAGCAAGTTTAGCTTTTGGGGAACAAAGCGGTGCCAGCGCCAGGACTGTCTCTGCTCATACCCTCAGTAGAAAGTGCAAAGTGTTAGGCACAGGATGCATCTTCGTTTTATAGATGGGGGAAGTCAGAAACCTTTTGGGAAATACTGTCACTGCCGAACTCGATGCACAGACAGTTTCAGGACCTGACCATGCTCCACCACTGCAGTAACTCAGCTAACTTAATTTCTGAGGCAGCCTAGGAAGAGACTTTCTCAAAGGTACACAGTGAGCTGGTGCCAGTGCTGAGATTTGTCCTGCTGGGATTTTTCCACGCTGGGATTTGTCCTGCTGATGCCCAGGTTATCAGCTGAGCCCAGCTTCTCTCTGAGAAGAGCTAAGGCACGCCGAGCCTGGGGCCCGTTGTGGAGCAGGCCTGCGCCCAGCCTCGTCGCAGGCTGAACCAGGCACTACTCTGCTCTCTTGGCCGTGCCCTGTCCTACCCCAATGCTCTCCCTGCCCAAGGGGAGCAGGGAAAGCGCTGCAAGGACTGCCAGAGCCCCACTGCTGTGGTGTCTGTTCCTCTGTGCTGGCAGCGCTCCAGGGGACGTGGAGCAGGTGGGGTGGAAGGGGGCTTGGGTCTGAGCCTTTGGGAAGCGGTGAGAGGTGTCGCACCCGTTTCAGTGGAGGATGATGGTCTTATGGAACAGGTTTGGTGTCAGTCAAGTTGCTCCTTAATGTACCTAACGTACCATAAGCACTTCGCTCCTACTGTCACCACAAAAGGACCGGCAATGCTTTGCCAAGGCCATGAAAAATCCATGACAGTTAAGATACTGGCAAGCCAGATGAGTGATTTTCAACTTTTCTCTGATTTGCAGGCCACAGGGGTCCATCAACTACAAGTCAAGAGCTATCAAGCTCTGGTATGGCTTTTTTACATACTCTACTTCTAATGATCTTTAAATGCGAAACACTGAAAATCAAAGTTGGTAGATCTAGATCCAGCACTGAAAAAAGTGGTTAAGTACTTTGGAAAGTTTACCCTTATATCTGTATGGATGAAAGAAGAACAGAAAAGATAAGACAATTTTCTCCATATACAGACATTATAAAGATGACCTAAGGATGAAAAGTTACTTTATTACTGAGAGAAAGTCACAAAAAACAGCAGTCTCAGAGATTTAAATGCAATGCCACACTTAAGAAAAGAAGAATGATTCTAGCAATTACCACGTTATAAATCTGATTCTTTTCCCAGTAGGAACAAATTCTGAGCACAAAAAGCCACTAAAGCAGCTAAAGGATAACAGGCTCACAAGCAGTTCTGTTTGCTCTGGAGTTTATAAAGAAGGGAACCTCCTATAGCTTTACAACATCAGTGAACGAAAGGGAAGCAGCAGAACCGACGTATTTGGCTTTAAAAAAATGTTGAAAGACTGAATCACAAGCATTTGAATATAACATTTTTCACATCTCTTTTGACATAACAGCACCCACATAGCTTGAGAACTGGCTTAAGAAACTGTGAAGAGCGAACAAAAGTAGCAAATTGCTGAGCAGAGAAAAGGTATTTCATGTGTTTAAAACTGATTATGGTAGCGCTGTGTCAGAGCTGATCTCAAAAATTTCATAGTGATCTAGAAGAGACGATGACTGATGAAATTATCAGACGATACAAAGTGAAAGGCATTTTGAATAATAATGAGGACAAAGAAATAATTCCAAGAGGTGCAGAAAAATCAGAAATGGTAAAAGACCAAACAGACCCCTGATCTGTAAGCCACAAGCCTAGTGAATCCTGATTTCCTATAGATTTTTATATCACCATCACATTGCATCCCATTTGGTCTCATGCTATAAGTCTCCCCACCCTTCCCCAATCCCCCTCCCCGTACCTCCACACTTACCCTTTCAAAAGGATTCTCTAAATCTCCTCCCATATCTGCCACCTGTGTTGGCTAAGGAAGGGGCAGCAGATGCTGTGGCTGGTTTCAGAGTATATTTTGCCTGGCCAGTAAGTATGTGCAGGTGAGCTCTGGTTTGTAGACAGGATAAGACCTCGGTTCTAGCAGTATTTCCCAGAGGGGGAACACTTTCACTCCTCTAGTTAGTTACTCATTTTTACAAAATTTGTGGAATGTAATATTTTAAGACCTCTAGGTTTCTATGGAATTTAGGTTAAACTGGCCAACAGGTTCAGGAGTTATTCGGGAGTAGAACAACAGGACAGACAGATGGTCAAACAAGTCTTATGCAAGTCTAACTCAGCTTTGAAAACCAGTGCAAATTATAATATACATGATGTGTGCGTGCAGAATCCTAACAGAGGTAGAAACCTGGAAAACAGCAAGGTCTGGCTGGAGCTGAGATGACAGAGAACCACAAAGTTGACATGAATTTACTCCTTCATATGGCAGTAAGAACAAGGTCAGGGTACCATTAGGTGCTGTATGCCAGTATCGCTGCACAAAGGAAGGAAAGCTCCTTTATAAACACCAGAGGCAAAACCATACCTGGAGCACTGCACTGTGATCTCACAGAAAATTATCAAAAATTAGAGCACAGTGCTGGACTTGGAGGACAGATTTCTGAAGAGAGATTTAAAAGGGCTAAACACTAGAGCTAGCTCCTCAGATGCAGTCAGACCTCGCTAGGATCCTCCTTTACATACTCCTGAGCCTCAGTCTTGTAAGCACTTGCTTTAGCTCCAGGTACAACACAGAGCAACCTCCGAATAACATAGCATCTGTGTGACAACTACAGGAACGCAGAGTGTGGCAATATACTCACCATGACTATTTTTTCCTTAGACAAGAGTCTAACATGTCCCTTATCTGGCTAAGGAAGATGTAACCATCTTGAAGAACCAGCCTCATATGAACACCTTAACTAAAGAGTGGTTAAATAGGGACAACCCACTAGCTTCCACGGGCACAGGAGGAGAAGAATAGGGCTGGAGGGAAGGAGTTAAAGGGTCTTTATCATCCCCACATTAGCACATGGCCAGATCACATAACCGAGAGCACATGTGGTTTGCAGGGCCCTGCATGTGTGTTCTGGCTTGCAGTATCTGCAGGCTGCAAGCACTAAGCAAAGAGAGGGATTATTTAGTATTGATATATGCAGGAAGCTGAGGATTTAAGCATGAAAAATGAAATTAAACTGCAAAAAGGAAAACGTGACCTGAATGTCGTCCCAACGCTTCCTGCCACAGTGATGTGAGGGGCAGTGGAAATCTCCCCGGGAACGCCATGTGCCGAAGAGCCTCCTGAGAACGGTCCAGCAAGGACAGGACTGGTCCGAGGCAGGCAGGTAGGAAAGGCAGGATAAAGCTGTGATTTCATGGAGACACAGAGAGCTGGACAAGGTGAGCTGTAGCAAAGAAACGTTGATTAGAGAATGCTTAGAAATCTCCCCAAGGAGCAAACGTGTCTCACCACGTTGACAACCCAGTTTTAATTTTTGGTATGTTCCTGACAGCACTAATACCCCTGAGGAGGCTCAGGGAGGATTTCTCACAGATCCCACCAGCAATGCTGGCATTTTTCGGTGAGCACACACTACCATCTAGTGCTGAGCAATTTTGCTGCAGGGAGAGGATCAAAAACAAGTCTTCCCCAAAGGGACTTTGCTCTCACAGCTGCCTCCAGCCCAGGGCTCCTGTGGCACAGGGTGCAGGTCCAGGCTGCTGTGTGCCGCCCGCTGACCTCAGGTGGGTGCCTGCAGAGCACTCAGGCCTGGGTCGGGAGGTGGGTGCAGGCCCACCAGGTCTGGAGGGGTTAATTCTTTCTGTGCTTGGGAGAGAAAAATAACGGTAATGCTGGCAAGCCTGAAGCTAAAGAAGAGATACCGACAAAAGAGAGCAGGCACCCATTTCTGCGCTCTCAAATTGTTTCCTTGCATTCAGGACGGTCAATCACATTTTATCTATCACCCAAAAGGGAAGAAGGCAGGGAATGTGCCGAAACAGGCTGACTTCTGAGCTGCAGAGCTTTTGCCAAAACCCAAGCCATCTCTCGACAAGCCCTGTAAGACAGACAGACAAAAGTGCTTTACTGTTCCCCTTGCCTGTCTCTTCCTCAGCTTCCTGGGCTTAAGTTAAAGAAATTTATACAGTACTATTAATCCAAATATCTAATCTGGGGAACTATCCCGCTGTGGCTGTTGGCCTTGTGAGTGAGTATGGCCGACTAGAACTCATTCATTCTTTACATCAATCTGGCTATTTAATACAATGATTTTATAGGTAAGATCCTGTCTTTTTGTCCAGGTACTGCAGAATCAGTAAAATCAACAGAATATTCCCTGATTTATCTTTGCAGGTATACAAAGGCTCATAGCTTCCTCTCCAGGCAAGGAGATTAGCCAATAGCATTTTCAGGCTCTTTTTCATTCACCAAATTTTAGCTTTTTACAAGAAGAGCTTCAGAAATGCACAGTGATTTACCAGCTGGTGGAGCTCAGTAAATAGCAGAAAGATTTGTCCACAAACATTGAATTGGAACTGAATCGCGACTCAGCCACGTCTATTAGTCTGCTTTCAGTTTCTCGGAGGCTTATGCCTTTGGGATCTTCTTGTTTTCCCACCGACAGGAAACGTCACAAATACACCGAACCCATGGTGAAGTCGTGAACGCCGTCCCCTGCGGCAGATCTGCCAAACAGGCCTCCTTGGCACAAACACAGGCCAAACGTGAATGTCTCACCTGCTCGGGTGGCTGTAATGGCTGTGGCTACGTCCAGTCATCAACCACTGAAATTAGCCAAAGCACTGACTTTTAACGGATTCTTGATCCGGTGCTGATTAATTCAGGCTTCTCACTGCTTTGTTACCCGAATCAGCCAGCCAGAGGACTAAAAATAACTCCATGCGACTCCCAGGACCAAAGGACATGAATTATAAGCTAGGAACGTACAGAATATATTCTAACATATGGAATAAACCACTTGCTTAATTCTCATAAGTAGCCTAGCGGGCTCCAGCGGAGGCCTGCCCGTCGCCTTCAGTGAGCTCCGCATGAGTTCCCATCTCAAGGACGACACGTACTCGCTGAAGAAGTGCCTGAGTGTTTTGTCAGTGATATGATTTGAGGAACAAAATACTGAAGTTAATGTAAATGAGTAAAATGTTACGTGTTATTTTTCAAATGTATTTGCAATAGGGATTGAAAAGAATATTTAATATTGGCTCCTGTCGAAAGACACGTGAGTCATGGTCCCCAATTAAAAGATGTTTTAAAAATCTCATATCTTCAAACTAAAATACAGGTAGGGTTCTCTACTCGTCTCCAGGTTTTGTTTTGTTTCACTGGAGATATAAGGATCATATTTTCATGCTTTCCTCGGCCACTTTGAGTCCTTAATAAAGCAAACCGCAATTCTTAAATACCCAATTCAGAAACTTAGTCTTTGAAGAAAAACACAAAATATCCTGTGAGTGGCAATATCAAAACAGTTATTTGATGTGGAAGTACGATTGCGTATGTTAAGCTGAAACTATGATCAAAGTTCTACGTTTTCTAGAATCGTTTAAAAAATGTTATTCTCTTAATACAATCAATTGAATTAAAAGACGGCCAGTGTTTGTGTTGGAAATAATTATGAAAATAGACCAGGTTATACTAATGTTTCTTAAGGCTGCAGAAGCAGAGGCAGGGATGTGATCTAATCTAGCATTCAGTCTCCAATATAGTCTCCTAAAAGCCTTGTATTTATGATGTCTTTAAGCCAGTCCTGTATTTGTAATTTTGCTGACTGACACCTGCATGTTGTTTTGGCTTAATTAAAACAACCAGAGGGTTTTAGTCAGCCGCATCGCTGTCATCCAGTGAAAAACCGAAGTGCAGGCTTTGCTCTAGGCACACAAGCAGCGCCACAGGAATAACTGGGATTTAAGCGCATACTTTATATTAAAAGCAAATGCTCAACTGTTTGGCTGGATCGGAGCTGTAAATCTTGGTGATGCCATGGTTTCTATGACAACTAAGTGTGATATTACATGAAAGATTATGATTTAAAGGAACGCTATTACATTTAGCCTTTTTAGCTGACACAGTCCCAGCTCATCCTGCGAATCCCTTGCTTGTGTATCTACTTGTCCACAGCCTGGCAGCTTGCCAGCAGCTGAGGGACACCGCGGCTGCAAGGCAGGAGGCCCCGAACCAGGTTCAGAGCAGCAGCGTGGGGCTGTGAGCCCCGTCCCCCGTCCAGGGAGCCCTCATGGCTCATTTCCTCCGTCATGGGGCTGGACCATATCCTGCTGATAACACATTTTGCCCTGAGACCACGCTCAAGGCCTTGAGGTCCTGTCAACAGGACAACGAGTTTGCCAACAAAACTCCAGGAGAAGCAAGTCTCAACTCCCCAGGCTCCTTCCTCCCATGCCAGCAGTGATCACTAGGGGTTCACTGGTCCTCCCAGAAACACCACTTCACCTCTGCTTCACGATTAACTCGTACTCTGTTTGGCCTAGCTGCCAGCTGTCTCATCTCTCAGAGATGTCCTCCAGCTCACCTCATGCTTCTCAGCCGTCTGCACAAATGTAACCAGAAGGGTATTTTCATCCCTATGGGTGGTCATGGGGGCAGGTGCCAAAAACAAATATATACCTATGGAAGACCAAAGCTAACTCCAGACTAGCTAGTCTGGAGCTGGACAGGAGACAGCTGGGAAGAAGCAGACTCTCTTACCACCCTTCTCTTAGTAATAAGACCAGCCCACTTGCGCGCTGAGGATGGCCACCACCACTCGCAGGGCTCCAGCAGCCAGGGGTCGCGGTGCCTTCTCCACAGCTCACGTGCCAGCCCAGGCACTTCGGTTAGGAATGTGGTCTCCTCTGTGTCACTGCATCCCACCGGCTCATTTCCAGAGAGCAGTCGGTTCTCAGCCGCTATGCGTTCAGGACGTAGTGATTCACCTGTTGCTTTTCCAAGCCAGTGAGAGCCAGTGGTGCAAATCTGTTCAATGGCCCTGTTAAGTAAGGGGTGCCCGTTGCAGCAAACAGCTCCCTTTAGACGAGGGTAAAACGCTTTACCAGGGAGATTAGTGCCACTGCACTTGTGAAGTCATGATATTCCTTACAAATAAAATCACTGACTATAAATAACCAGCACATTTTCCAACCTATGAGATTATGAGTCTCCTCCTTGCAAAACAGATGAGCTCACTGCAAGATAATTTTGTGATGGCCAGAGAGCTTCAACATCAGATTGAGCCCATCATCATTAGTTCAATTAAAGCTTGTTTTTATCCCAGGAAAATAACTGACGCACTGATCAACTGCCTCCGTTCATTGTTACTGCAACGTCTGCAGCTGCTGCGAACACATCCGTGTAATCAATATGGCTCGCTAAAAGGTTTCTAAATGAGTTAACTCTTCCAGGAACAGGCCAGATTTCCAAGGGACTATTTGCTTACAAAATCTTATGCTTTTTGTTCTATGCCTCTTTTACTTACAGGGGCATTAAGTCCAGCCAGGAGCTGATCGCACGCACTTCAGCAGTGCATAACACGAATGTTGCAGGCTATTACTGTAATTCAGGTTCAGAGAGAGAACCTGGCCTCCAGGCTACTTATCCCCTATAAAAAAGACTGAACGTAAGCTGCCTCCTGCTGACACAAGTGGGTTAGGGAGCGACTGTCCGCACGGCTGTGGTGGCAGAGCACAACTCGCCGCGAGGGCCGGGAGACGAGGAGCCCGAGAGCAACCTTTTGCCCCAGCTCAGCAGCAGCTACGGCAGCACCTCCACAAATAGCCCCAGTAATACGAGCAAACGGGCCTATTTTGCTGTCACACGGGGCTGCAGGCCATCGTTTGTCACAAACTGGGTCCCACAGCCTCTGCCCAGCTTGGGTGGCTTTGCCTGCTCACCGTCGCAGGTGCAAACGCCAGGGCAGCAGGGAACCATGCTCTTGCTGAAAGCGTGTGGCCACAGCCACGGTCCTCACGGCCCCCCGAGCTCTCCTTTCTGGGGTAGATTAGAAACGCTTTCAGGAGCCATGCAAAGTCTCTGGATGCCTGACTTCACTGCACATGCAAGAGAAACACAGCTCGCAGGTCAGCCTCTGCCTGCCCTGCTTCAGAAGAAGGACTGCGTGGCAGACAAGCCTGCACACATTTCTCAGGAGCCTGGAGCTTTTGGTGTTTGCTCCAAGCAAGAAAAAGTGAAACTGCAAAGCTTTTTAAAAGCTTTGCTAACCTCCTATGAGGCAAAATGACTGAACTTCAAACTTACTCATCCACAAATCTCCTGTTTGAATCCAACGCTTTGATTTCATATGATTGCTGCATTGCAGAGATATAGGTTTTTTAGCAGCTGCAAATACCTCTATGAAAACAACCGCTCCTACTTGATGGCTGCAGCCTCACGTGA